GCTGACTATAACAGTGTGTTACACTTGTACAAAGTGTATTTAGAAGAGCTTGCTGTCTGATTCAAACCTGTACTCCTAGCACTCTGAGAGGCCAAGGAGGGTGGATTGCCTGAGCTCACAAGTTCAAGACCAGCCTGAGCCAGAGCGAGACCCCACCTCTAAAAAATAGCAGGGCATTGTGATGGGCACGTGTAGTCCCAGCTATTCAGGAGGCTGAGGCAAGAGAATTGCTTGAGCCCAAGATTTTGAGGTTGCTGTGAGTTATGACACCACAGTACCCTACTGAGGGCAACAAAACTGAGACTCTGTCTCAAAAAAAAAAAAAAGGAAAAAAAGAAAAAAGAAGAGCTTGGTCTCTTCTGTCTCTTCCCAGGCACATGGTGGCTGTAGTCACATCATGTTGGACTCAGCATGAGGGCAGGGCAGGGCAGGGCTCAGTGTTAAATTCTCAAAATGACACCAGGTGTGGTTCTGCATCAAAGAAGGCAGGACCTCTTCCAAGCAAGTGGCACAGGCAATAAGTAGAGTGTGAGGAGTACCGTCCACTTGCATCCCAGTCTCACAGGAGCCATAGCAGGGTAGTGGGAATTTTCCTAAGTGTGTGTGAGAGCCTGGGCTTCCCTGTCCCTCCTCAGCTGGTGGGGGCTGGTGCTAAATCAGCCTAAACTCAGCCTAAGGGTGGGATGCTGTCCAGCTTCAGACTCCCACAATGGCATCTTGGACCCATGACCAGGAAGGGTGGGGCCTCTTCCAAGCAAGTAGTATGAGCAAGATGCTGGGTGGAATGCCATGTGCTTGCATCTTATTCTCGCTGCAATTTACAGCAGGGCAGCGGGGATTCTCCTAGGAATAGATAGGAGAGCTTGGGCTCCCCTGTCCCTCCTCAGCTGAGCAGCAACTAGAGATGTGTCAGCCTGAATGCAGCCCAAAGGCAGGACTATGTCCAGCTTTAAACTCCCTAACTGGCACCCTGGGCCTTTGATGAGTGAGGGCAAGGTCTTCTCAGGAAGGCTGCTCTGACGGGAAACTGTGGGGAATGCAGTTCATTTGAGACTCAGCCCTACAGTAGCTGGCTGCCGAATGAGGGGCATCATCCCAGATGTGTGCTAGAAAGGCTAATTTCCTTGCCCTTCACCAGGGTAGGGTGCAACCCAATATCAAACTCTCAAAATAACACCTTGGACCAGAAAAGCTGGGGTCCCACCCAAGCAGGCAATGTAGGTGAGAAACTAGAAACTGTTGTCTGCTCATGTCTCAGTCTCAACAACAGCCTGTAGCGGGGCAATGAGCATCTCCCCTGGGCTCCTCCTCAGGGCCCTGCAGGCACCCTAATTGTTTCCCAGTGTCTGTAAGTTCTCAGAATGGCACCCAGCTCAAACTGCTCTGGGCTCAGAGCTTGTGGGATTCCATGTGAATTCCCTTTCTGGAGCAACATCTTTGTGCAATCTCCAAATAGCTCCCTGTGTTAGACCCGAGACCTGCTTCTGTTGAGGGATTCTATTATAGCCAAGATCATAAAAGCTTCTCTTGGTGAGTGGAGAGCCTCTCCTCTTACTGTTTCCTCACGTCCAGGAACTTCTCCCTGCCTCTGCCTCCCTTTTCCTGCCTCTGCCTCCCAAGTAGCTGGGACTACAGAGACCCACCACAATGCCTGGCTATTTTTTGGTTGCAGCCATCATTGTTATTTGGTGGGCCCGGGCTGGATTCAAACCCGCCAGCTCAGATGTATGTGGCTGACCCCTTAGCCGCTTGAGGCACAAGCGCTGAGCCTACCTATGGTTCTTATTCTGAGGGAACAGAAGATCTATGAGAGGGAGAGGACAGACAATGATCTAATCACAAGGACAGGCATGGATAGCCAGCCAGCTTCGCTGAGGGAGACAGGGGAAGTGGGGAATAAATAACAGTGGTGTTTTTTTGTGTTTAGACTGCGATTCTCAACCTCTGGGTTGAGACCCCTTTGTAACAATGAGAATACATCCTGCATATCAGATATTTACATTACAATTCACAACAGTAGCAAAATTGTTATGAAATAGCAATAAAAATAATTTTATGTTGGGGGTCACCACAACATGAGGAACTGTATTAAAGGGTTGCGGCATTAGGAGGCATTAGGAAGGTTGAGAACCACTGGTTAGACTCTGAATCTGAAATCCTTTGAGCATGTGTAGACCAGAAACAAGGCAGAAGGGTATGTCCTTATCAGAAGTTTGGGTGGGAGTATCAGCAACCAGGACAATGAGAGTTGTGCCCTCAAGTGATAGGATGGACCAGGCTGGGGCTAACTGGGTGGACTTTGAACTATGGCCTGAAATTAAAACAAAAATCAAAAATGTAGCGGAGTCCACAGAGGTCACTATAGATCACAGTAGGTGGCTAGGGACTCCATTACTTCCAAGCTGGCTAAACCTGAGGACCTAGCAGGGGAGGCTGTGGGGCCAGTGCTGGTCTTCAACTCCCTCCCTAAGAGCTCACCAGCGCTGGTAGGAACCCATCAATTATTACTCACTCATTTATTCACACATGCTTCCTGTGTGCTTCCTATGTGCCAAGCACTTGGCTGAGCACATGAGATGATAGATTCCCAACTCACAGACACAAGCACACCCCCCCACACACATTCTCACCTCATCCTCAAGTTTTCCCTTGTAAAATCTCACTTTGGAGTATTCCATTTTAGGGAAGCAAACAAGAACATTTCAGGACAGCTCTTTGTCTTGAAACTGCTTATATTCTAACGACCCTTTTTACTTATTTCTAGGGCTCCACTGATTTCTTCTCCCTTGATTTGTCTTATGGATGCCAAAAGGAGGCAAGTCTACCACAGACGCTGAGTAAATTGCAGGTAATTTGAGGCCTTTTCCAAACTGACGATGAATGGTGAAGGTTCCTGAGAGAACATGAGACATTTAATGCCTTGTCTAATGTGTAAACTGAACTTCCTTCAGCAGTCAGAGGACTGGCTGGTAGCATCTGGGGAGATTTCCACTGAAAGTGTCCCTAGAGAGCTTCAGGTGTTGAGCATCTTTCCTAGAAAGGATAAGGAGGGTTAGATTGTTAAGGTAAATATTTATATGGTTCTTCTGCTCTCTTGTATAGAAATCTACTAAGAATTGAAATCCTAGTGTTCATTCTGAGTTTGAAAAGACACCAATGGTGGTGATGGTTGCATAACACTGTGAATCTACTTTGTGCCACTCGACTGTACACTTAAAATGATTAAGGGCTCAGCACCTATAGCTCAAGCAGATAGGGCACCAGCCACATACACCAGAGCTGGTGGGTTCAAATCCAGC